GAAAGAGTGGGAAACATATATTAGTCGCATATATACAAAGCTTTAGCAAAATCTTTCAGCATTCCATTAACAGAAAGCGTGAGGACTAATGGGAGTGGCCTTCAATGATGCATAGTGATTTAGTTATAATGGTGTCTAATAAAACAACGATTATGGTGCGCTCTAAATTGAAAACCACTATTATCTACGGAGCGATAACAGCATTACGGGTAAACAGCAAAAAGCTCAACTACCTCTTTAATATTCCGAGGGAGGGCCTATCACGTAAGCTGACATGAAAACATACAATATGAATGTCAGTATAGAAAAAGATAGTATCGCTAAAAAATTACCTTAGGTTATAGTACAATATCAATAATATAAGCTGCGCTTCTGTAACGGAGATACTTTCGCACAAAACTAATGAGACTGTTTTTCTTGATTCACACAATGAATTTTAGAAAGATCGTCCCTCTCGAATTACTAACCTGTCCGGATTGTATTCCAGAGCGTTTCTGCATATGAGATCAATATCGTCGAGAAATTCGCGAGCGCATAGATAACAATTCATATCGATTTTAGTCATCATCGTTTCTAAATCCATAGGTTGTTTTATTATCAAGTTGTAATCTGGCACTTCCTCTGTATCCACTGGCTTTGTAAACATGAAAAATCTGAAACACCATATTATTTATAAATACCTCTAATGCTATAAAACAAAAAAAAAAAAAAAGAAAATAATTTATAAGATATGCTTACTGTCGATTTCTCGCTAGTTTAGCACAGATTTCTCTCAGGAAAATCCGTAATTCTCTCAAAGATACTTCATCTTTCTCGTACATGATCCGCTTCTCTGCTTCAGTTAGTTTCTTTGGCAACGGATCCGGTGCTAATGGCAGTGTTTCTAAAACTTCTACTTTGTTACTTTTAATCTGCGGCGATCTTAGACTCTGAACCATAAAAATATGTCGGAAAAATTTCATTCTTTGCTCGGTGGTAGGAGTTTTCATGGAATACACTTCTCCACGTAATTCGCTGAACAAGTTTTTCAATTGATTAGGGAGATCTTGATACGTCGCGTCGCTTGTCGCAAGAATTAAAATTGGTAATGAAGGATCCAGTGCTGCAATACGGCATAGGAAAACTGCTTTCACTGTCTCTGGTACAAGAGGCCACCATTTGTCAATTGATCGAATATAAATTATGGACGGTACATTCCTAGCAGCTTCATTAATTACCTGTAATATTAAATAGATACTATTAAATTAAAACTTTTTTTTGACACAAAATTATAAATTATATTGTATATAATTCGCGAGGGAATTATATAATATAAAATAAATAAAATACTTATATAATTACTATCCATATTATTTTCAATTATTATAAAACTTTAAAAGTTTTAGATAAATATGTTATAATAGCATTAATATTAAATGTATAGTAATGTTATATAACCTGCACACAAGTTTCTTCCGGGGATCGAGCGCTTTCTGCAAATAATGTGCTAACATCCAAAATTTGGACTGGTAAATGTTCCATACAATATAATAATGCTTGAGCTAAATGAGGTCCCTGACCTTCAGATAGACTGCCACCCGAGATTAATAGTCTTGGGCGATAGATACCCTTAGCATTCTTTATTCTATAAAAAAATATAATAAAAAATATAAATAACAATTTGAAAGAAGACAAATATTTTTATCATTGTCACAATATCATACATATATTTGAACAATAATTAATATGTGAAAAGAGGTCCCTGACCTTCAGATAGACTGCCACCCGAGATTAATAGTCTTGGGCGATAGATACCCTTAGCATTCTTTATTCTATAAAAAAATATAATAAAAAATATAAATAACAATTTGAAAGAAGACAAATATTTTTATCATTGTCACAATACCATACATATATTTGAAAAATAATTAAATATATGTGAAAAACTACTTTTACATAGTGCTTTAATTACTTTGCCATAGCAGGGTTTACACCATGAGGAAATATTCCTTTCACCAAATTAATTAATTCTTCCAATGGAGGTCCTAACAATGGCACCATAAAAAGTTGTAATTTTCTTCCTGCACACGGAGCTACTCTATGCGACGACGGAACGAGCATAGAGCTTGCTTGCATAAAATCACGTTTTTTTACCTAAAAATTAATAATATATCATTAACAATTTCTAAAATAAAATTTTTGTTATATATTGATTGCATAATTTTTCTTATTACAAAACGTACTTCGACTCTATCTGGATCTAGCAACAGTCTGTCATTTGTCATATAAATTTGTGGATAAGTTCTCCTTAATCCTTGTAGCACTGCTTCGGTACACAAGGCTCTCAAGTCCGAGCCGCAATATCCAGTTGCTTTCTCCGCCAGTATTTCTAACAATTGTTCAGATGGTGGATTTTTCCACTTACTGACATGAATCTTTAAAATTTCTAATCTCTCTTTCATAGCAGGTAATGGAAAGAAAAGTTCGCGATCGAAACGGCCAGGTCTTCGTAGAGCCGGATCGATTGCGTCGATTCTGTTTGTTGCACCAATGACTATAACCTTTTAACAAGTAAAAAAAGAAAAACTGTAAAGAAACACATAGCACAAAAAAATTCTTTGTTTCATTTTTATTACCTCTCCCCTGTCACTGAGACCGTCCATGAGTGCTAAGAGTGTGGATACAATGCTGGCATGAATCTGATCTTGCTTGGTACTTCTGACAGGTGCCAAACCATCTATTTCGTCAAAAAATATTATGGACGGTTTCATCTGTTGAGCTTGTTCAAATAATAATCTCAATTGTCGTTCCGATTCCCCAACCCACTTCGACAGGCAATCCGCTCCTTTCCTCATAAAAAAAGCCATTTTCTTGTTACCTTGACTGCATTCATTGGCTAATGCTCTGGCTATCAACGTCTTACCAGTTCCTAAATAGATTTTCAATTTGTATAAAATTTCAAAATAAGCTTCGATTTCATTATTCTTTTGTGAAATAATAGATTTGATACCTGGTGGACCATGAAACAAGACACCCTTTGGTGCAGTAGTGTTATATCTCTCAAAAACATCCGGATACAACATAGGAAAAACGACCATTTCTTTAAGGCAGTGAATGTGAGATGCCAAACCACCAACATCGCTAAATCTAATATTAGTGTCTAAAGTAATAGGATTTATATCAGCTTTTCGATCTGGTGGACCGCCTTGCGGTATCGCCGATTGTCTGTGAAAATATCACTCAATGCTCAAAATATTTACTGACGAAATCATTGCCCAATGAAAACTTTCCTGTGATATGTATAAATACCTCGCTTTTTTGCCCTTCTTCTTGTCGTAACGTTGAGGCTCAGAGTCACTGGAGTCACTAGAACTCGTGCTTTTACTTCTATGCTTTCTTCTTCTCATTGAATTGCTGAGAACGCTTCTTAGAGCTCTAATAGATCGTCTAACTGGCTCTACATTAGCTTGAAACCTATCTACAGTAGGTTTTTTTTGACGTAAACTGTACTTCCTAGGCCCGGGAGAATCCGAGGATTCGGATAGATCACTGTCCACTACTGTATGTATAAATAAATCAAGATACATTATATTTTATTTTTAGAAGAAAAATATCCGCTATACCACTGGTGAAAATGAACTCTTTTCTTACCTCTAGGCAGTTGCCGTTGAGCTGTGCGTCTTGTTCTCTTAATTCGGGTATACATATCCTCATATCCCTAAAACAATGCGCGTGTGGAAAAAAATATATAAATTTATAAATTACTATTTGAGATAGCAAAAAAAATTATATAAGTTTGCTCACATCTTCATTTTCAGAATTATCATTATTATCTGGCTTTTCACTTTCTCGCAAACTATCATCATCCGCCTCATCTTGCTCTACTTTGGGCTTTTCATTTTTCTCAACTACACTTCCACACAATCTGGTTACAGGACCTTCTCTAAATCTGCTTGGGCTATCAGACTTTCTCCTGAAGAACAATTTAATTTCAATTATATTAAATCCCATCAAGTCCAACATAAATGTTTCATCAAACTACATGCCTAGTATCTTTTTCTTCGTTTGCTGGTCTGGTTTGTTCACTAATATCTTTTTCTGGTTCTGGCCTTTCTTTAAGATCACGATCAGATCTACCTCTAAGTTCCCTATTATTTTGCCGATCATGTTCCGTTCTATCCCTAAGATGTCTTGTCGGATTTTTATTAGGTGGATGATTTTCGCGAGATCTTAAGGGCATACGATCTCGAAGATCACGCTTTCTACCAGGTACATCATCTACCATCTCTTTATCCGAGGAAGAAGCATGTTGTTGAAACATAGGATATCCTTTTAAAGTTTGCGTTCCTGTTAATTTTAATGAACATTTAAAAACAATTGCAATTGACAATGAATAAATCAAAATAATTACAATTACGATATTTTGGATGTTAGTTATTTCTACAAACTTTCGATTTAAATTATATATTGTGAAATTCTCCTGATTCTAGATAAATGTATGTATATGTATATTTATATACATATTTATGTTGATATAAATACAGAATTTTCTGTTTTATTTATCTTATATCTTATGTTCGAATTCAACTTTCTCTTTTTTCCTTGTCTTATTTATATTTGATTAAAAACATTTTAATAGCTCAAAAAGTATTAAAGTGATAGCAACAACTAAATTACCAAAAATTTTATTTCAAGAAATAAAATTTATCTTTGTTTAATCAAAAAATATGTTAACAAATCAATATTTTATAAATAGAAATTTTTAATTATTATATTCTTTCAGAGTTAATAAAATATTTTTCAATCAACAATAAAAACATCTTTTATTCTCAGAATGTTTAAAAAAAAATAAATAATTGTCTCAAATGGAGCAAATACAAATATAAAAAAATAAATGAAAAATCTGAAGAAGATATTAGAAAGATACATAAAGAAATAATTATAATATAATATAATAAAAATTTTTATAATCCTGAAAATTTCAGTAAAACAGATGAAACAGAAAAACTGCATATTAAAATAAAAAATAATAAGAGAAGTTTAAAAAATGTATTTATTACTGCTAAACAAACTAACAGATAAAAAATCTTTCATTTCTAGTTAATAAATTTCAATACTTCAATGCATAAATGCAACTATACATATACATATATAATATTTACAAGTAGAAGAGTAAGTATTTTGTTGCTTCATTATCAAATAGCACTTTATATTTGTATATAACATGTATATAATTGATACCTAAAATCCAGCTAGTATTAAGGTTGTCATAAGTCTGCATTCTATTACGTGTACTACGTCGTACACTTAAATTGTTATTAATTATATGTGAATTAGAGCCAGAATGCGACCTCAGCTTGCGTAGGCTCTTAGGTCGTCTAACATTTGACTCCAAGCTGCGGTTGCGAGAAGTAAATATCTCTTCCTCGGTATCCATTGAATCCAAAGCAGCATCATCATCTGACATTATCTATAAAATATTGATTAATTATTTTATTATATTAACACAATTAGAAAATATGTATACTTTAACATGAAAATTTGTGTACTATAAGTAGAAAATATTTATTTAAATAGTAAATACATGATACAAAATGCTTTACAAAAGTTAGAAACAGCAAAATGTAATTCTTGTTTTGTAATTTATTTCTTAATTATTAATCCTGATCAATTCTTACATTTATAAGTGAACAAAGCATACAATTACAATAATCATTGTTGTATTAAAATATTTGACAAGTGTCTTCCCATACTATACGAATAAACAGCATAATCGAAAAATTATACTAATACACTTAAAATGTTATAAAATTTTTAAGAAAAATCTTAATATCTTCGATATCGCGCGATTCAAACTTACGTAATTAAATCGTATTGTGATATGCCTAGGAGAAGAAAAAAATAGGTGAAGAATATCCTAAACGATAAACAACAAATGGAGAACGGCACGTAAGTAATCCGTGTGTTTCTCGAACTTTAACACTTTTAACCTTTGCGTGAATTTCTTTGTCTGGATAGTATCGCTCTACGTTTAATTGGTGATTACCTTCATCTGGCCAGTTCTCGTTGCCGATGCGCGATTAAAACGTTAAAATTGTTAACATTCGTCATATGCGTGGGATAGAGTGTGCCAGAACTGCATTCACGATCTCCAAGACTGTCCTGTCCTTCCTTGCAACGGTGCGTGTGCGCTGATCGAATCACTAGCAATCGAGGATCGTTCAATCGAAATTCCTTCTCGTTAGCATAAAAAAACCCACATAATCGTAAGTTATCGCGCATCGAACGACATTAAAAAACGAGACGATACATTCTGGATTTACCGCAGTTACGTACAGTTGCAAAATCCGTCTCCTCTGTATATAATACATATATGCACACATACAAAACACACCACTTCCTCTAATCGCTAACTGTATTTGTATATTATGCCCATTGCTCTCTGAAGTTGGTCGCGTGTTGAGCAGACTCGACCAATGAAGATTGAGAAATACGCCCCTCTTCAATATTATTCGTAGATTTGTTCATTTTTAATGCGTTCTACTTGCCATTCGTAATGCTCGCGAGTATCATCTGTCTTTGTTCAACCTTCGGTGATCAATTAACAACCAGATAATCTCACGAGCGTTGCGAATGTCAACGTATTTTTGTTTGTTATCCTTAAAAATTTTTAAACTTGATACGAGATGAATGTGTGGATATTCGCGCGTTGAAGAGAAAGAACGGGATGAATCTGAGTGTAGAAAGTGTAAGCGGAACGAACAGATCTAATATCTCATAGTTCCGGTTTACGTTCGGGGCGACATGTGTCAAGTCTAGATATTCATGCATCATGACTTAAAATTATGTCCGTCTATTGTCTATTTAATATCTTCAAGTGTTCGACACATACATATATGTAAAATATTAAATATATAAAACACAAATAATAGATTGTACTACAGTATTAAATAATCGATGAAAAAGATATAGCTAGAAGAATTTTATAGCTTTGGATTTTTTAATCAGCGGTCATGATGCGTGAATCGACTTAGATATTGCTACGTTCGAATCGGTAATGCTCATCACCATCGATTTTTTCTATTACAAGAACGTCTATTCTAGGTTTTCCCTTTATTCCAAGTTAGCTGTTTTTCACGAAACTAAGATTCCTTCTTGCGTTGCTTTTTATTTGCCACATGATGTGATTACGTTAAATCAAGATAGTTGCATTCGGAATAATGTATTACAAAAAATACTTCGAATCGTTTAATTGAACGATCAAAATAAAAGGCGCGAATATTCTTTGGATCGATTGGTCAATCAAATTGATTCGAAGCAAAAGCATCATGAGAAAACGTACGAAAAACAAAATGCACGGTGTTTTTATTCCGCGCATATCTTGGAATAGAAGAAATGAGATGAATGTGTTCGGTCCTAATGGATTCGAATAATAATCCCGATGATATTAGGATATGTAGAGAATTGTATTTTCTTGCCGCGTATACAGGAGTCATAAAAATATATCTAAAATATAAGGAGTATTGGGATTGCGACGTTGATGCTAACTTCAGACTGGAGATATCAGCTGATTACTCCTTTTCTCATGATCTCGAATTAATATTGAACTAGTAATCATTGTATGTTATATATGTAAGAGAAATGATTTTAATTTCGGAAGATTTTAGAAAACATTTTCTTGATTCAAACAGTATCACTATCATAATACAGCAATTATTATCTGAAGTAGTTATATATATATATAACTAAACAGTCCATATTTCTATAGTCAAAGATACTTCTATAGTCAAAGTAGTATATGCTGTAACTGTACTATTGTGCTATTGATAATATGTTGACAGACTACACATTATGACATGACAGTGCAAGTTGACAGCTATACATTTAGCGTTTTTCCGGTCGGTGAATTTCAGAGTTGATTCATCAATATATATATATAATATATACTGCATAAAAAAATAATACATAAAAAATAATTAAAGAAATAATAATTTGATACAATGACGCGATATAAACACACGCATTATAAAAACAAAATTGACCACGCATACCAGTTTATTGAATGACTCGATAAAATTTGAATTGACGACGATTAATATCTAATATATGCGATAATAATGTACTCAATCCGACGATAATGGCGCATAGTAATTAATTTCGCCGGAAATGATTTTAGAATATAAATAAAAATGCTAAATATGCTGAATGTGTATATACAAGGTCATAAAATCGTCAGTCTGTTAGCAACAGTGAATATGTGGACGGTTTCTGCAAAGATATTACACTCTCAATCATTTTATTAATTAATCTTTGTCTTAGATATTTCTTTTCTTATATGTAAATCTAAATATGTTTTCCTTTGTATACAATGTATGGCCAATAATAGAAGAGACTATAGGTAAAAACATTGTATTTATGTAAGCCTTTTTATGGATATTACTATTAAATGCACATCATTCTAATATTTATTTTATCCTTATAACAATATATTTGTTTGTAAAAGCTTTTGCTTAGGTATATTTACTCATGTGATATATGTGTAATTTTTATATTGAAGAAAAATTTTGTGCGTTTCTTATTTAAAAATGTTTAATGTGCATTTTTATAATCTTCTTTCTCTAACAATTTTTAAAAAATGTTGGGATTATTTTTTCAGTTGAATATATCGACGTGGATTTTACGTTGTGGCTGTCATGGCTTTTAATGCCACTTCTCATAACATTTCTGCTCCCGCTTGTGATTGTGCTACTGTTGTATTCGACTTCCATAATATTATATATCTACAAGTTACACAGGTTTAAAGATAAAATAATTATTAACTGTATATATGCTACTTACATTAATGTAATTAATTAGCATTTATTATAACAAATATGTTAAATTTATCAATCTATTAATTACACTAATAAAATTACACTAATAGTGATTCATTTTTTTAGAAACAAGATAGTTTCATGCACGCATCAATCTGCAAAATATTCTATGTCTTTCAATAAAATTCTTTATGTTCAAAACATTTTCTTAATTTATGTATAACAAAATATTTTATTTCTTTCAGAGTTAGACTAAGAAATGCTTATGGCACTGCGTGGCAAAATGCAGCACGTTATATGGTCGCAGCTCTCTGGGATGCACATGGTTGGATCTGGCATGGTATATATTTTGATTTGATAAACTATTTTGACAAGATATATTCTATTCCACTTAAATCAATTTATATAAATTTATTTACTACAAAATTTGTTTACTAATAAAGAATGTAATTTTTAAACAGGATATGAAATTGTGGGTTTAGAAAATATCCCACAGGATAAACCAATATTGTTTATATATTACCATGGAGCTATCCCAATTGATTTGTATTATTTCACATCCAAAGTATTTTTATTTAATTCAAAACTAGTCCATACAGTAGCAGATCGATTTCTCTTTAAATTTCCTGGATGGTCTATCATTTCTGATGTTCTGAAAGTGATACCTGGTACAGTTCAAACATGTTCTGCTATTTTAAAGGAGGGTAACATGCTCTCTATCTCTCCGGGTGGAGTATATGAAGCTCAGTTTGGGGATTCTTATTATGAACTTATGTGGAAAAAAAGAATGGGTTTTGCAAAGGTTGCCTTGGATGCAAAAGTGGTATGTTTCCATAAAATTTTGTATTATTTTATGAAGATTCTATTGTATAATACTTATTTGTCATTAGAGTATAATTCCTTTGTTTACGAGAAATATCAGAGAAGCATTTAGAACAGTGAGTTGGGGAAGAAGAATGTGGCTGAGGATATATACTTGGACAAAATTTCCTTTTGCACCAGTCTATGGTGGCTTTCCAGTAAAATTGGTAACATATGTGGGTAAGCCTATTCCATACGACGGAAATCTTACACCTGAAGAGTTGCAGCTAAAGGTGATATGAAATATACATATTATATATTTCACCAATAATATTGTATATCTGAAAATATTTGGATACACTTTCAGGTTGCTAATGCTCTTAGAAATCTAATAAAAGAACATCAAATAATACCTGGTAACATAACACGGGCTTTAATTGAAAGAATACGTAATATAAAAAGATAGAAGGATTAACAATAGATAAATAATCTCTCTTCCTTCATGTACTTAACAATTAATGAGGTACAATTCTCAGTATTTCTTAGAAATTATTTTAATTTAATTGATTAGTTTTTTTTTAGCTGTTGATAGTAAAAGATAAATGTAGTAAATTTAAAAAATGGAGGATTTATATTTAGTTTTTATATTTTATATTTAGTTTTATATTTGTACTTGAATACATAGTTGGTTATTATAATTTATAATAATATAGTTATAATTTTTATATATGTACGCATGCGCGCGAGGAAACAGGAATGTCTTAATACAAATTTATGCACATATTGGTGCATTTTCATATATGTTTCAGGATATGCCCAAATTCATCGTGTATTAAGATATTTCTGTTTCTGTATGTATAATTTAATATGCATACAAATAGCATACAATGTAAAATAATTCCCTGTGTATTGTGTTAAGTATGAAAGCAAATGTGATTATTTAACATTTATGCATATATTCCTATCTTTTGTTACCTTATACACATTATGATCTACTTATCTTATTAAAAAAAATTATTATTTTTATATGAGAAGATTCTATATAATATAAATAATAATAAACCTACTTATGAAAATAAAAAGATATTTTGTTTACTTTCTTTCTAAATTTAGAGATATAATGTGGATGTATGTATTAAGCATATGTGTATAATATGTGTATATTTTTTTTTTTATTGGAAATCTGGAAAAATTGAAAATTTGTATTGTGTTGTTTAAATATCTAATCTATTATACTGTCTAAATCTTTTCAATTTTCATCATGTACTTTTTCTACTTCCTGTCTTTTTCTGGTCATTTCGAACATATGTTTTCCATAAATTCTCATTTGATTAAGATTTATGAACCCTACATACTCTTTGGCCCATTTTGCATCCCAAATACCTGGTCCTTGTTGTTGTTCAATGATTTCAGCAAAAATACCTGCCAAAGGTAACATGTCTTTTGGAGAGTAATATCTGAGATATCCAACATTTATGATTCGAGCCCAATTGAAGCCATATTGAGGTCTTTCTTTATCTTGGTATGTTCTGAAGAAATCCTCAATTAAATTCCAATAACACTCTGTATTACGCACCATGAGAAGAGCTTTTTTACGTAATTCTATCAATTCGAGTCCAGTTATAGCTACAGCTTGTTCTACTAGTTCAATCATTCCTAATCCATATTTAGCTGTATGTGTAAGAACTGCTGCGTCAAGATATCTAGACACTGCTGGGTCTTGATACTCTGGTTGTCTAGATAAAACATATTCATAAGCAAGGAGAGTGAACATAGAGGAGGTAGTGGAAAGACCTGATGTAAGGTATTCAATACAAATATTGATACAAGCATTGCATGGAGGAAAGAAAGGGAATTCATTCGACCAACCAGCTAAGACATTTAAATTTGTTCTGTATTGCGTTTTCAAGAATGCATTTCTCAATTGGTTAGCATTTTTGGTAGAGGCCCTCATTAGAGTCAAAGCTAAAAATCCTGTCAATCTCTTCAATTGAATTTCTTCTTTAGTTTTAGAAAAATTTCTTATCATTGATGAGATTTTGGAATAAAATTCATTTCGATTTTTCTCACAAAAAAGTCGTTAATGCAGTCTCCTGTTCTGCTAGGGTCATATCAGAAACTAAGATTGCAAGAGTTCCAGTCACATTTTCGGAAAGGTATTCTTCTTTGCTTCGATTTATAGGATAAAAAGGTTTTTCTCCAAATTGAGTAGGTTTCCAGAGATTCCCATTAACTGTTTGAGCGAGGGCTATTGCATCTGCAACTATAGAAAAGGCAGCATCTTCCTTAGAAACTATGCCTTGAAAATATAATTCATAAAATCTTCTAAACACTTTGCGTTGCATTTCTCTAATTGTGATATTTTTGTCAAACTGCAAAGGTTCTCTTAATTTATGAAGTAGAGTATCACTCCATCCAGTTTTGTAAGGAGCGGTGGGCCTAAGTCTCTGGAAACAGTGTTGTATGCCTTTTTTTAATTTCTCGATGTCGGGATCGGGAGTCCATTTTTGGGAATCCATTCTGAAGAATAAAGACATGCAATAGAATTAAATTGATTTATTAATATTTTTTTCTTTAAATACAAAAATATTTTTAATACAAGCAAGAAGATGCATCTACAAAGAACTTTCTAGAAATTTTTTAAATTCTCTAACTTTGCATTTCACTTACTCTCTTAGTACTTCCTTTTGCAATGCTAAACTCTTTATTATATAAATATAGATGTTAATTAAAACAATATATTTATATCTAATTTTGTCTTTATTGTTCGCTGGATTCGTCAAGAAGTTTTCGTGCGTCTTTTGTCTTCAAATCACCTCAAATCACGCGTATATGTGCAGAGCGCTCTGCGCATCATCACATGTACGCGCTACGCGGTAAGTTTGCTTCCGATTCGCCACCCGGGTGCACCTGGGTGGGGAATCGGACACACCTAATATATATATATATATATATAGAGCCGCGTTCGCAAACATCACCTGTGTGCACACGAGCGTTATTCTATCTTTGTTTAACTTTCAGTAAATAATAGATAAAGATGAGAAATGCAACTCATTTTTTTATTGTTGTGATTTATTAGCTGTGACACTGGTCCACACACATACGCAGTCGCAATAAATATCCAAAATGTCCAGTATTTGATTGACCAATCCAGGATAAGGAAATCTTTGCCATTTTTGCCGATTGGTCAAATCAAGTCACTCATAGCATTTTTAACGCCAAGTGAAACGCACGCTACAATAATCGATCGTTAAAATCCATATCAGTTTATAGATTGAAGAAAAGATGGAAATTAAAAATTGAAGATTAAAATTTGATCAATCAGAAAAAATAAATTTCAGCTCCTTTTATTCTGAATAATAAAAAATAGATATCAATTTTTAATTTTCAATCTTCAATGCATAGTTTCTGATACAGGCTTCATGTTTTCCGGCGCATTTGGGGGAGAACAAAGAACAAGTCGCACGGCAGAAGGCAGAAGTGAGTTTTCGCACTAAAACGACCGCGCTTCCAATGACTGACGCTTGCGCCGTGCTGTTCTTTTCTCGTGAAAGTACGTTTCTTTCACACTCGTAAATCTCCCGTATACCTTTTCCCTCCTGACGAATACCGCCGTGCGCATCAGAATAGTATCGTTTTCGTGTTTGCGAATCTTCCGTGTCTCTTGTCTACGTGCTTAGCCTTCGTACGACGAAGCGAATCGTATCGGACACCGGTGACGATTTTGGATAGGCAGGACCACACACGTACGCACACACACGCGTGCACACAGTGTAATTAATCCATTATCGTCCTACAACTTCATGCACCAGCATGAGTGACTATTCAGCGGTTGCTCCGCCTCAAAACTTTAGTCAAAGCACCGCGTTTGCGGCGGCACTGCAACGCGCCAAACAGGTAATCATAATTTTTTGAAAGTGACACGTCGATGATAATCATTAAGCCAGGATGCCTTATGATGAGTAAACGTTTGCCCGCCAAGACCGCATCTGCCAGCTTTTTCCAGTTTGGAAGAGCGTTATGTCCTTTCTAGCGCACGATTACAAACGCATTATTTTATTATATTACCTTTGTCTATACTTTATGCTGCTGCATCTTGCGGTGTAGTAAACTATGGAAAACTTTTTATATACATATTACATTATCTGAAAAAAGATCATTCTTTAGGATTTATATGTTGAATTAATCTTCCTAGATTGCCGCAAAAATAAATCCAGCTGGTGCAAATAATCAAGATTCCAAGTTAAAACGTCCTTTAGAAGATAGTTCAGGTAATATATATATATATTTGTTGTATATATATATGTATATATATATATCATTCTCTCTATTTTCTTAATTTTATTACATTAGTAAATGATTCATTTACCATATTACATTCTGTAGTTATTAATATTATATTAAATTTTGCATTTTTAGAACCAGAAGCAAAGAAAATGGCATCGTTAGTATCAGATCCTTTAATAGGCATTCGTGGAGGACCTACAAGCAGTTCTATCAGCGATTCAGGTAGTCAAGGATCTAGACCAGTTTCTTCCAGTGTAGGTGGTATATGTAATGAAGATATCAGAGTTCCAGACAAAATGGTTGGTTTAAGTAAGTAAAAAACAATAGTAAATTGTTCTACATTCCTTATATGAATATATCTTGTAATATTCTGCAATATGTTGTACATATATTATAATGTATTGTAACAGTTTAAGAATTTTCTGTTATAATATCCTTATTTTATTATTTATTATATAATAGTGCTACTGTTTAAATATGTGATAGTTTAAGCATTATTATCTTAGCATTAATTCATACAATTGATTATCATATTGTTTCTCAGAATGGTATGTTATTGATATTATTTTTTTATATTGATTATTTCTCATATTTGAAATACAATAGTAGGAGCATTTTATATATCATAAATATATAATTGCTTTTACGTAATAGTAATATATTTACAGTAATTGGCAGAGGTGGAGAACAGATAACAAGATTGCAAAGCGAAACAGGATGTAAGATACAAATGGCACCAGAAAGCGGTGGACTGCCTGAGCGTGTTTGTACGCTAACTGGTTCGAGAGAAGCTGTCAAGTAACTTGTTTTTCCCTTCTTATTTTGTTAATTTTAACTATTTTGTATGCAATGCAATATATATACCACAACTTTATATATACGCGATGAATGATTAGAATTTGTTATCATCTCTTAATTTTGAATGTATTTGTTTTATTATTGAAGTGAAATATGGTTGTTGGTTCTACATTTATAGACTGGGTCTTGTTAAAAATACTTTCCTGTTAAAATTATATATATATCAGCCAAGCAAATCTGCTATCCTCCTTAAAAATTTTTATACAGGGATTCTTTATATTCTAATTTATTTAAGTGCATATCTTGTCACCACATTCCCATCTTATTCCTCAAATCGCAACTGAATCATTTATCAAAACTGTGATGTTACCATAATACATGAATATTGCACATTGCTTTATGACTAGTTATTAGAATATGTGATTGGGATATGGTTAATTCTGATAACATAGCTTGTATTTTATGTACTACAATTTTATCTTAACATGTGTGTGTGTGTGTTTTACAAATATAGGACATATGCTTTTGCATATTGAAATTATGAAGTGTTTTACAGAATCTTTATTTAGCTCCTGGATGCCAATAGAGCGGGTTCAAACTTTCTGTACGCTTCAGAATTTCTGGTCATTGAAAATTGATCAATGAGTTGATCTTTTGATTTAATAATTTTGTATTTACTAATAGTTTTTTGCTTTCAATAGGGTATGGAGAAAAAGAGAAAGAGAGAGAGAGGGAGAGAAAGAGAAGGAAGGAGGATAGGATATGCATGGGAAGGTGTTAATCTCACAACATCAAGAAAAGATTTTATTTATATTTTTGATACTGTTTATAAAATTAAACCTATAGCATTTTAATACAAAATCTTTGAAATCTCTAAATCTTTTATTGCATTATTTGAAAAATGTTATTGGTTACTAAAAAAAAAGAAAGATGTTACAAATGTATGATATATAACATTTTGGCCCACAATAGATATTATTGCATATTTATGTGTTGCAAACAAATTTTATTATTGTATAATGATTAAATCTCTTCACATGTGAAATATATTTTGATTGAAAAAAAAATTACACACTTGCATTGTGTCTGTTTCAGCCGAGCAAAGGAGCTTGTATTGTCAATAGTAAATCAAAGAAGCAGAAGCGAGGGAATTGGTGATATGAATATGAGCAGCACCAGTACTGGTAGTACTAGTAGTGGAGGAATGATGGGACATCCAGGATTTGTTGAGATAATGATTCCAGGTCCTAAAGTTGGTCTGATAATTGGCAAAGGAGGAGAAACCATAAAGCAACTTCAAGAGAAATCTGGAGCTAAAATGGTTGTTATTCAGGAAGGGCCATCTCAGGAACAAGAAAAACCATTGAGGTAAAACAAAAATCTTTTTTCTGTGTAAAAATAATTGCTCCTCCTAATTTTATCTATCAAAGCAATATTGCATAATTGTTTAAAGTCGATATTCCTTTTTTTTATATAGAATAACAGGAGACCCTCAAAAGGTTGAATATGCAAAACAATTAGTTTATGAATTAATAGCTGAAAAAGAAATGCAAATGTTTCATAGAGGAGGAAGAGGTACAGGAGAAAGAACAGGAAATTATTCTAATGATAGCGGCTTTAATCACGGTCCTGCAAATAGTGATGGAGTAGAGGTTAATAATCTTATTAAAATTAATAAAATTTTGTTAAATTAGGATTTAATTATAGATAAAGAATTTTATATTTTTTAAATTTACAAAATATATTATTGTTTTTAATTTAGGTACTTGTTCCAAGAGCAGCAGTTGGTGTTGTTATTGGTAAAGGCGGAGATATGATAAAAAAGATTCAAGCAGAAAGCGGAGCTAAAGTTCAATTTCAACAAGGAAGAGAAGATGGTCCCGGTGATAGAAAATGTTTATTATCAGGAAAGCATCAAGCTGTTGAACAAGCTCGTCAACGAATTCAAGAGCTAATTGATAGTGTTATGGTACTTATATTGTATTAAAATCAAATGAATTCATATATCGTATGAATTTAGAATCTATATATTTTTTTAATAACACATAATAACGATCTAATTTCTGCTAATTACTATTATTATTTATTTATTAATTTTAGAAATGTTATTTTGATTTGTTTTTGTATTTTTAGAGGAGAGATGATGGTAGAAGTAATATGGGAGGCAGAAGTGGTTTGAGAGGAAATGGATTTGGTGGCAATCGCAATCCAAACGAATATGGAAGTTGGGATAGGCGACAAGGTGGTCCTATGCAAGATAAAATTGAGACGACGTACACCGTTCCATCTTCTAAATGCGGAATTATAATCGGCAAAGGTTTTATCCTTTATTCGTTGTTTTATTTGTTTTAATTAATTATATATAAATTGTTTTATTTGTTTTAATTATACAGATTTGTATGCATTGTTAAGGCTTTTAATTTTTTTGAATGATTTTACTTTTGTAAAAAGCTTAATACATTTAATAAGTAATAACGTTATATCTCCTCTCGACTTTTAACATAATATCTTGCATTAAAATTTATTTTGCTATCATTTATTTTAACTTTAGGTGGTGAGACTATCAAACAGATCAATCAACAGACAGGAGCGCATTGCGAATTAGATAGAAGGAATCAAAGTAACGAAAATGAAAAAATTTTCATTATTCGGGGAAATCCCGAACAAGTTGAACACGCAAAGAGAATATTTAGTGAAAAATTGGGCATGGTATGTTTTTGATATATATATATAATTATCCTTATATATAATTACTTTTTATATAACTAAAATAAACAATTTTTCTATTTATTATTCAAAGGGTCCAGCTGGTTCTTCATATGCTGGAGCACAAGGAGCAGTTGGATATAATCCAAATTGGAATACAGGGTATCAAGCATGGCCAAGCCAACCACAATCCAATGACGGAAGTACGGTTTTATGTCTTCCTTATAACATTTAAGGTTGTAAGTTCGGTATTTGTTATACAAAGAAATTGCTTTTGCAGGCAATGCTAATCAAGCTCCTGTACAAGTCAATCCGCAAACTGGTCAACCAGACTACAGCGCTCAATGGGCCGAATATTATCGGTCATTAGGTATGCATAGAGAAGCGGACATGATAGAACAACAGGCAAAACAAGGAAAGCAAGATCATAATCAACAAGCAGGTAAGAATTTTTATAATTTTACGTTACGAGGAAATACTTGCTGAAAAGATACGCGAGAGAAGATTTTACGATTAATTTCTGCAAAACTATTAGATTGGATAAATTTTATTTTAGGAAATTCGCAAAATCAATCTAATCCAGCGACAACGAATTCTGCTGGACCAAGTCAGCAACAACAACAGCAACCAACTCAGCAACAACAGCAGCCGGGCGCCGCGCAAAATGGAGGTCAGGCCGATTATAGCGTCCAGTGGGCGGAATATTACAGAAGCATCGGCAAAATTAAGGAAGCCGAAGCGATAGAAGCTCAAATGAAGGCGGGCAAGGTATTTTCCTTGAAATACTATGTGTTCTTTGTTGTTTGTTACTTACTTTATATGATATTATGTAGCTCGGAATGCAAGGAAACCAAATGGCTCAACAACAAATGCAGACTCTACAGGGACAGTCGGCTGGCCCACCGGGTACCACGCCCAATGCATTTCCTCAAACTTATGGAAGTTATCCAACGATGAATGCCAGTTCAGCACCAGGTGGTTATTACGCAGCGAATGCTGCATCTAATTCTCAATCACAGACGGGACAGCAAAACCCTTCTTTTCCAACAGGGTATCAGAATTACCCTTACTCACAGTCCAGTTCTGAGAATTAAACTTCCATTTGAGAGAAAGGCAAGCTGTAAGTATAATCTTGGTATTCAATATATATATTTAATATGTAAGCGTACGCACAAAAAATTGTATAAAACATACAATATTTTAATATGACATATTAAATCAAAATGATTAGTAAGTTTATATCTTGGCACAATAGTTAGATGTAAAAGCTTTAATTCCAATGGATAGCAATTCAATAATATATTTAATAATGCTGTTCAAAATTAATGATTGTAAAAATTTATACAATTTTTTCAACGCTGCAATTATACTAATAAGCCAATATGAAGTTGCTTTTACATATATATTAATACAAAGAACAGTCATAATTTTCAGATTTGTGTTTATATATACTGCTTATCTATTTAAATTTCTCAATTATATTTAACAATTGATCTTATCTATCTTCATAATTTGTACAATATGACATGTATCTTTATATTGGCTTGATATTTCAACATTGCTATAAATCAATGGTGTAAGAATAAGGATATGTTATCCTCTGATATTCATTGAACCTCTTTCAGGGAATTTGAACTAAACTTTGCAAAATATAAAATCTATGATAATATCGTGATTTTTTCTCATGTGATAATTTGAATAATGACACAATTCTACACCTTTGAAATAAAATCTGTTTCTTATACACACTGATCATCTCTTTCACCATAATTATTTGTTTATTTCAGATAGTTTTCAGATAGCTTTCCATCGGGATACGGTTAATACCTGCTATATCTCCATATAACTTTTATCATAAATAGTTGACTGCTTCATAATCTTCATATATCTTTGAAAATGTCATTGAAAATCGATTATATTATGTTTATACTATAATATGTTTCATGTGTTTTTTATATATATACATATACATATATAGTAGGATCGTTCTAAGTTTAAGTAACAAAAAGTATCAAACAACAAGTTTGAAAGAAATTAATATTATAATATAGTATCAATAATGATATATGTGTTCTACTTATACTTATTGTATGTATTTTTGTTCCATAATATGTATTATTGTAATATAAGTTGAAGCTGGCAGGTGTGAAGCAGCGGATCAGAAAGTGGAACGAGGGATCGACATCTGTACCTATTTTATTGCATCCTCTCTCTCTCTCTCTCTTATTAAACTTGTTAAATTATATCCTTATAAATGCATTGTTATGAACGATACTAGCATATTTTGTAGCATTATATAACTCATTATTTATGTCTTGACAAGATTTATTTACTTGAAATACTCGTGTTTCATTATAACTACAAATATTTACTATACTACATGCTGTAATTGATACAGCTATTATATATGTTTTTTCACTACCCATGAACGTTATTTTATCCACGTTATGTATACAGAAAGATACATGATATGACTATTTATATATGCATATGTCTTATTGCACTGGTGTTAAATACAATTTTACTTTGCTTTTTTTTGCTTTCTCTCGTGAAATACCAATACTATTTTTAGATATTTGGAGCAGCCAGTTAGAGAGAAGTTTACCAGTCCTACAATAAGCCATGTGGGGATCTACAATTTAAAATGTTTCATTCAGCACTAATCTACATATACACACTTGGAGGAATCAGGACCTGCAAACTGGAGATTAATTGAATGGGATATATGTAACGCATAATGTAGAATATAGTTTACCAACATCGTATTCTAAATCTTACTTAACCAGTATTACGTGTGATTTTACATGACATACTGTAATGAAATATATTGAATTTTTATTTTTCTGAATAATTCAGTTTTGGAAGACTTCACTAGTCATTTGTAAAATATTTCAAATTTTTGTACATTTCTGTTATTATATATATACCAAGTTCTTTTAAAATAATTTAGATGAATGGATACAGGATATGTGAAAAGTGGAATATAGGATGTATCAAAGAAGTGAACTATTTTTCGTTTTGATTACAAATTTTTTATGGTAAAATTAGATTCAATTTGCAAAAAATTGTGGATGACACACATTATCTCTTCGCACAAGTTTTATATATTTTTAATAATCAATATCTTGCATCAAACAAGTTAAGATGGTGGAAAATTTATTTGATTTATTTATTTGCATCTTATTCACTAAAACTACTAATATACTTCTTGATTTATCTCTAATCTCTAATATCTTTCATTTACAGTAAATATACAACTTCTGAAACATCCTGCACATAAAAAACTTTTCAAGTAAAAAAACTTGTGCGGAATATATCTCTAATATTTAATGTCTCTCTAAATATATCCATAAATAGTAATATATTCATAGAATTTTGTATATACATGCGTCTTCATTCTTTGTGAAAAAGGAATTTGAGTAAAACGTAATAATCGCTTTGTATTTTTTTTTACGATATATATATATATATTTCTATTTCATTTTTACGCGGTAATGTAAAATAATGAATGATTATACATGTCACTTAATATAATATTTGAAGTTACAAAGCTGAAAGAGCCAATTATAGCTTTCATTAAAGTTCAGTTACATATTAGAATAAGATTATATCGCGCATTTTTTTGTTTTTTTAAATATGAAATCAATTTAATATTAATATTATGCTTATATATTTATGAAATCCTATTCTCAAAAAGTCACAATATGAAAAGTTTTAAACGATATCTAAAGAATTCAATGATTCAACAAAGATGTTCCAATAAAAACGAAAAAGAAATTATTTAGTTTCTAATAAAAATTTTTGTTTGGCTTTGTTACTTATATGTTTAATGTTTTTAATGTAACACGAAAAATACGTATTTCAAACATGTAATAATATTTTCCCTTATACTATTTATACATTTTCAATGCAATTAATTGCATTAATATTTGTTATTAATAAAACAATTTAAAGTTTTCACTTAAAATTCTTCTATGGCATTATATTTCGAATATACATATTTATCTCATTGTTCAATTGAAAGACATTTGTAATAAATTTTTGTCACATTGCTTGGGAAATATTTGAAATAAGATATTAAACAAAATTTATTTGAGTATGTGCTGCTTTTATATTGAAACACACGTAAATAACTTTATTCTTTCTTTATTATTTGAGCTAATGAAAATAGCAATAATGTAATGGCTATTGTGATTATGTTATTGCTATTTTCACATTATCTTGAATTATAGAGAAAGAATAGAATTTGTGTATATAAACTCTATTTCTTTTGTTTTATTATAATAGCACAATAATATTTTTCCTTCTTTTTGAGTGCACGAAGATATCCTCAATCTTATTTATCAGTTAAAATATTTTCTGTAATTTTATACTTTTTATGCATGTAATTAATTGACATTGGCGAATGTTTCAGGGACAGGCGCAACAGAAAGTTTTCCAGTTTCTCTGATCAAGAGAAGCAAATAGTAAATACGTATAAAAGATTTTCATATATAAATAAATTCTGTAAGGTGTTATACATAGGCAGAGTGTATTATATAGATACAGGGCACATTTAATGCAAGATTTGTAAAATACATAAATATTCAAATTTTATAATAAAAAGTAACAACAAAAATATAAATAGAGTACAATAACAATCATTGTTTAAATATGAAATATAATTTTAAAAATCTATATTCTGTCTTATTGTTATATAGAGAATTGTATATGTAAATTATTAAAATAAGAGCATATATATTTTGAATGATGCAAAATAGTGTTTAACGTAAACGAAATTCTATATTTTTGTGCATGAAAGATTAATATTTGTTTTCCATTTTTGAGCGTATTTAGCATTAATTCGTAATACTTGAATGTTTTCACACCAAGTGATAAGCATTTGAGTAAGACTGCATTTTCACCCATTTATAAATATTATTCGCCAATAATACGCGATCAACAGATATCGGCGTTTAAAATTTTCTTTCCTAAGCTTTCTCTAAGGAGAGCATAATTTAATAATTGTATAATTTTACATTTCTGGAGGGGGACCATACATAGGATTTAATTGTTGCGTACAGCGTATAAATGTCGCTCGTCGCGGTAGTTCGCGCAAACGCTCGGCTCCTGTGTAAGTGCAAGCGGATCTTAAACCACCCAATATATCCAGCACAGTATTCTCGACTAAACCTCTATAAGGCACTTCGACAGTTTTTCCTTCTGAAGACCTACATGTACAAAAATAGCATGTGAATAACTTTCTATTTATTATCTTAGCATATCGCACTTATAGCACTATAATAATAATTCTTACCTGTAGTCCGAAACACCACCAGAATGCTTCTTCATAGCTGTATTGGAGGACATTCCATAAAAAAGTTTTAATTTCTTTCCATTCTTTTCTATAACTTCGCCCCCGCATTCGTCATGACCCGCAAACATTCCACCTGCCATGACGAAGTCTGCGCCGGCACCAAACGCTTTTGCCAAGTCTCCAGGGCAAGTACATCCACCATCCTACAATAAGCATTAATATATAAATAAAAATAAGAAATAATCCGTACATCTACGTTCATGTCAATTTATGACAGAATATAATATTTACAGCAATAATATGCCCCTTTAAGCCATGTGCCGCATCTGCACACTCAATCACAGCACTTAATTGGGGATAGCCTACACCAGTCTTCATACGTGTTGTGCATACAGAACCTGGACCAATTCCTACTTTAATTATATCTGCTCCAGAAAGTATTAATTCTTCCACCATTTCCCCTGTTACAACATTTCCTGCCTGTAGCGGCAGCAATTAATCTTTATATTTAAATATAAAGTATAGATTAGTATTCAAATAGCTAAACAAATTACTAAATGTATATTTCTAGTTAAAGCTAATGAGAAACAATCGGTTACTTACAATTATAGTGTGATTCGGATATCGCGCTCTTACTTTTCTTACATATTCAACAAAATGTTGTGAATATCCATTTGCAACATCCAAGCATATAAATGATATTTCTGGCACGGCTTCTAGTATGCTTGAAAGTCGTTCGTAATCTTCATTTCCTGTTCCTGAACTGGCTGCTACATTCTTTATGCAGTCGGGATTTAATGTGGAAAAGCTTTTCCATTCATCTGCGGTATAATATTTATGGATCGTAGTAAAAAGACCATGCTAAAAAAAATGTGCATAATAAGTATGATGCTGCATTGTATCATACTATGATTTGATATAATCACATCTTAATATATTAATAATATCTGACTTATATACTTGGACATAATGGTATGATAAAATCTAAACTTATTTTTAAAAAACTAACAAAAGCTCAATATATATATAAATCTTTCATATATATATAATATATTCTAAAATTATTAAATTTTTCTATACCTTTGATAAAGCTTTTGCCATTTCAAATGTTCCAACTGTATCCATATTAGATGCCATTACAGGAATTCCTCTGTATGTTTGTTTAGAATTGCGAAATGTAATTTCTCTAAAAAGATCGACCTGAAAAATATAAATTATTAAAATTTATTAATATTATGTGTGCGTATACAAGGTGTCCCAGAACATGTCCAAACTGAAGGGGAAAATTCAGCATGCCAAAACAAGAAGCTTTCCTATTTGGCACTTTGGTTAAATCTTAAAAATAGCACTTCCCTAGATTAAAATTTAACAAAAATGGGATATTGCTATTTGTACCAAATTCATTGCAGGTATTAATGGCATAAAAATTATTACTGAAATGATAAGAATTATGTTTTATAATGTTCTAAAACATAATTCTTATCGTTTGAGTAATGATTTTTATGCCTTTAATACTTGAATTTAGTAAAAATGGCAATACATCATTTTTATTAAACTTTGATTTGGGGAAGCGTTATTTTTGAGATTTGACCAAAGTGCCAAATAAAAAAATTTCTTGTTTTGATGTGCTGAATTCATTTCTTTAGTTTGAGACACCCCAATTCCATTCCATGCAGAGCTGGGACACCCTGTATATATATATATATATATATATATATATATATATATATATATATATATATATATATATATATATATATATATATATATATATATATATATATATATATATATATATATATATATATATATATATATATATATATATATATATATATATATATATATATATATATATATATATATATATATATATATATATATATATATATATATATATATATATATATATATATATATACAGGGTGTCCCAGC